GCGAGGGGCCGCTTTTCCCCACGATCAGCACCAGCTTCTACCCTGTGGGCGAGCAAGGGTCAGGGCTGTGCACTGCTCCCCACCTGTACCGCAGGGCTGGGGGGCACTGGGTGTGAGTGGGCAGAGAGCCAGTGGGAGCACAGGGCCCGCATTGGTGTCCTGCGGTGGGGTGGCAGGAGCGCGGGGTCCCAGCTGGCAGGGACCCCCGGATATTCTATACCCAGCACTCTGTCCTGGTTATGCAGGGGGTCGGACTCGATGATCTATTGGGGTCCCTTCCGACCCTAACATCTATGAATCTATGACTCTATGGAGCCGAGCCAGTTCCCCCGTCCCTGCTAGTGCAGCCCAGCCCGGCTCCACAGACCCCTGCCGGCCTGTGTGCCCCTCTGGGCCCCACTGGTGCTGGCCCTGGGACATTGGTCCCAAGACACTGGGATGTTGGTCCCAAGATGGTGACCAGGGGGCGGGGTACCTGTCAAGGGGTGGGGGTACCCATGCAGCCCTTGACAGCCTGCCAAAACTGGGTAAGCGGCCCTTCGCCGAAAATAATTGCCTGCCCCTGTCTTAAATACACTGATTTCAAGTGTGCATTTTTGAATGTTCGGGTCAGATTGAAGCATTGAAAAAAAGATTAATTTAAATGGACATCTTCCCTACTGTTGTACTTACCTGTAACTGAAAGACTAGAGAAAAATAAGTAATTTTAAATACATTTTTCAGTTTGTTCAATTTATGCAAAATTCACGTCCCTGTGCAGTGGATAAGTACAAAGCCATGGGACATACATGAAGGTGAATATCAGCCTGTGTGTGTGAGACAATGTTTTGTGTATATTCAGTGTCCTTTTTTTTTATTCATTGTGAAACTTTTACAAGGAGCAGGGAACAGAATAGTAGTATTGAGGATTTAGTGATTATAAAATACTAAAATGTGGTGGGGAGTTCTGTGTGTTCCAAGATGTATCTGAAAATACATTGACACTTGAAATCAACTCTTTTTTTTATGTGGATAAGTGTCCCTTCAGCAGGGATACTGGGGGAAGATACTCTGACATTTCCTTCCCTTCCCGCCCCAAACAAACTGTCAGAAAGAAGACTGTCATTAAGATAAAGCGTTCTGCCTAGTCTTGTTTTATGTATGACATACAGGCGGGAGTCAAATGTATTTCAAAATATAAATATCAAACTATTGTGAATTTCATTCACATTTTCACATAATACTAGTTTATAAGCAAAGAGCTGTATGTCGATAATGGTCTCTTTCAGGTAAACCTCATCTTAACCTTTTAAGTTGCAAAGTGAAATTACTAGTCTTGACCTGGGACTGTATATTGAGAGAATTTACTTTGGGGTGTGGCGAGGCTGCTTATGTCCAGAAATGATTGAAGGCTGACGGGGAAAGAAAAATCTGATTCAAACACAGGATTTAAACAGACACAAGTGCAAAAAAACCCAACTTTCTGAGCAGCTGCTGATCAAGAGTCTGGTATAACTAACAATTACATGACAGCATTGGCACAATTACAGGCTGGTTACTGCACAAGACTGAACTCTTTATAAGCATTTCTTCAGTACAGTAGCCTGATATATTCTTCCTCCATGTTAGATGTGCTTTTCCTTTGTTGTAAATCAAAGATATCAAACTCATCAGGCCCTGTGAGTCAGATGAGTGGCGCAAGGACAGTCTGTGTGCTGCATTTGATCTTACTGACTGGCCCTGTGTGCCGGATCCAGAACGCGGGGCCAGTATGAGGCAGGCACCAAATGCAGAGTGCACGTCAGTCCGGTCCTGCGTGCCACATGTAGTGTGTGCACCGGACTGGACCTATGCACCACATGCATTTTAATTATTTCTGCAAGCTGTATCAAGGAGTGAAAGAGGGCCGCACCCAGAGAGTGGTGGTGGATGGGTCATTTTCAACCTGGAGGGATGTGGGCAGTGTCCTCCTGGGCTCGGTCCTCGGACCCGCACTGTTCAACATCTTCGCCAGTGACTTGGACGAGGGGATAAAAAGCACCCTGTTCAAATTTGCTGATGACAGTAAAATGTGGAGGGATGTGGGCATGCTAGAAGGGAGGAATAGGCTGCAATTGGACCTGGACAGGTTACAGGGGTGGGCAGATGAGAACAAGATGGGTTTCAACACTGACAAGTGCAAGGTGCTGCACGTGGGGAGGAAGAACCAGCAGCATACCTACAGGCTGGGGAACTCCCTTCTCGTCAGTGCAGAGGTAGAAAAGGATCTTGGAATCCTTATTGATGCCAAAATGAACATGGGCCAGCAGTGTGGGGACACGGTCAGGAAGGCTAACCGCACCTTGTTATGCATCCACAGATGCATCTCAAGCAGGTCCAAGAAGGTGATCCTCCGCCTCTATGCAGCACTGGTCAGGCCACAGTTGGAGTCCTTCATACAGTGCTGGGCGCCGCACTTCAGGAGGGATGTGGACAACATGGAGAGGGTCCAGAGGAGGGCCACCCACATGATCAGGGGGCAGCAGAGCAGGCCCTACGGGGAGAGGCTAAGGGACCTGAACCTGTTCAGCCTCCACAAGAGAAGGCTGAGGGGGGATCTAGTGGCCTGTTACAAACTAGTCAGGGGGGACCAGCAGGCATTGGGGGAGTCCCTGTTCCCCCGAACACTACCAGGAGTGACTAGAAATAACAGTCACAAGCTGGCAGAGGGTAGATTCAGGCTAGACATCAGGAGGCGCTAGGTCACAGTCAGGGCAGCTAGGACCTGGAACCAATTCCCCCTACCCTGGGGATCTTTAAGAGGAGGTTAGACGAACACCTTGCCGGGGTCGTTTGACCCCAGTACTTTTTCCTGCCATGGCAGGGGGTCAGACTTGATGATTTGCTCAGGTCCCTTCCGACCCTACCAACTATGAAACTATGAGAAATGGAGGCTGCTTTTCCCATTTGATGTGATCTCCCCACTCCAGTCTGAGTGCTCATTTGACAGAGGCTATTTGTGTTGAAAGGCATCGAGCACTTTCTTGACATACTGTAGTTAACTTTTCACATTTGTCACGATTACCTCATTCAGTCCCCCCTGACATGCTCAAAATAACATGCTTTGGCTTCAGGAGCAGCAGGATGTGGCAGCCATAAGACAGTTGCATATAGAGCACAGTACTGAGGCAGTCCTCCCACTCTTTAAGAAGTCTGCCTGTGCACTGCACTCAGATAGCAGCTGTCCACTGCTTACAACATGATTAAGTAGCATGCAAATTCCATAATTGGTAGAAAAAAAAAGATGTATTCTACTGCGTGCCAGCATGTATATCTGAAACCTTTACTAGGTCCCACTAACAACAGAGTACAGGTAGAGTTGTATAGTAGATGTCACATCTTCTAGTCTCTGCATAGTGCATCTTGTTGGAGAGAAAAATGACTGAAAAACACCAATCAGAGTAGAGTCCATAGGATAAAATGTGTTGAAATCTGATGACTTGAGTGGTATTTATAGGTTTCACCTAAATTTGCAGGTTTCATCTAAATATATTCACCAAGAATGTGCATTCTTCCTTCTGTATTAACTTTTTTTATTCTCCTTGTATTAAAGAAAGTGCTAGAAAGAAGCAAGAAGGTATTGTTGGCAGTTCCAGGGTCTGTTTTGCCCAACATACCCCATCACTGCCAGCAGAGAGTCCTCGGCCTTTGAAGCTTCGAAGCATTCTTGATATGAGCCCTTTTACCGTGACAGACCACACACCAATGGAGATAGTGGTGGATATTTTCCGCAAGCTGGGTCTGAGGCAGTGCCTTGTAACACACAATGGGTGAGTACAGGGGCAGAAATGCTTTTCATTTTGTCAGGTGTACTGCTGGTGACTAATGTAATGCTGACACCTTAAACTTGATCCCTGTGTGTTTATAGTGTAGCAAGTTAATGACTTTGTTACAGCCTGACCTAAGCAAGGGACAGCTGGCTGCTGAGTTAGAATTTAGCTGATGAATTTTAGTTGCTAACTGAAGTTGGAAAAGCCAGCCAGGTAATTGGCTGTATGTTCTGCTCCAGCAGGAACAACTCTGAAATAATATATTCCATCAGAATGACGTAGTTTGATAGATTAACGCTGGACGCTCGTATCACCTGCCAATGCAAGGGGCAAGCTCAGCTCACTTCTCTCTCCCTCTGTCTCTGCCCCTAATTCTGATATTATCAATTTGCATCCAGTTAAAAAATGGACTGCAGAGAGGAAAATCATACTTAAAAGGTGAAACAGCCTGTGATGTTTATCTTTATACAGCAGTTTCTATTGTAAACTTTAACTAATAGATGAAGCATGGCACTAGCCTGCTGCTTTTATTCTCATTGATTTCATCCTGATGCAGGGTGCAGCAATACCTAGCTTACTGTAATTAAAGTTTTGGCCTGAGCTACAGCCCCCTGTTTCTCTTGTGCACCAATAAGTAATAATTTTTTACTCATTCATTTTCCCATGCTTATGTTCTCCTCCATCAGTGCTACTAGTCCAAATCTACCATCTTTTGTTTTACAGAAAATACAAAAGGATCATAGGTTGACATTCCAGGATATTTTTTAACTGTTTTTTAAGACCAAAAGGGGGCTGTTAATGATCATCTATGCCAAGCATGGTATATTTTTCATTTCTGAGAGCAAGGGCTTCTGCAGGATTTGAACAAATTCCTTCAGCATTGTAAGCCAAGGCCATGCTTGTCAGCCAACTCAGGTCTATGCTTTTTTTTTTTTTGTTACACTTTGTCCCAATATCCCAAGAAAATGAGCAGTCATTCATAGTTTTTTTTTTAACGGTCCCTCGCTTTGTGCTCGCAGTCTTGGACGCATGGCTCTCAGGCATCTACAAGAAACAGTTTGTCAAGCAAAAACAGTCTCTGGAACAAGACAGAAGGACCAGAGTCTCTGTTTTTATTTATGCACTGCTTGTGTGTCCAGTGCTTTGGCATAGACTTTTGTTCTGCAAATGCCTGTGGGAGAAAAGGGCTTCCATACTAGCAGGAAAAAATTTGCCCACTGATCTCCATTTCCAGACTGTAGTTATGGAGTTTCAAAACCTTGGAGCTATTGTCTGGGTGTACCAGAAGCTGCATAGCTATCGGCTACTTCTGAAAGTTGAAGCCAGAACCCCCTTTAAAAAAAAATTCAAGGCATCCTTTTAAAATATTGTTTTAGAATTGATAATGTACATACATGAGAATCTGGGGACTTGGCATCCTGGTATATTTTTCTAGCTAAATAAATTAAGTCCATCTTTGGCACTGGTAAAGGACTAATAAATAGTTAATTGTAGTTGCCTCTAGACTATACCTTTTTATAAGGCAACTTCATGAGCACTTGTTCCCTTACTAAACACTACTTCATATACCTTCTGTGTGATATATGTAAAGTATAATTAATTGTAGCAGTCTAACATACTGTCCCTCTAGTATATATTAGCTTTCCTTAGTAATTCATGCTGTTTAGGGTGAATGACTATGGAAGTTAAAACTAGAGAACTGAAATGTTTGAAAGGGGCTGCATTAAACTGTTTATGTGAAAAGCCTACTGCAATAAAGTGGAAGCTATTCAGTTAAAGCAAACTTATTTCCAGGTTGATATACTCATATGGTAAAATCTATAAAACAAATGCCTTGTTAATTATGCCTCAAAATTGTCCTTGAACACAGCCATGTACTAAACAGATGGTGGAGGCTTTCTGAAATTTAAGGAATATCCTAAAATGCTTTCTCAGGGCAAGAGACTTATGGTCTATGGTCTATCAAGTATGCGTCAGCTTATAGATGCAGTTATATTCCTGCAACCAAAATGGGGAACAAAATCTGCTATACTAAGCTGTTAGAGAAGAATATTTATGTCAAGCTGACTACTACAATAAAATAGTATCCTTAGCCTCTACTTCAGTGCTCAAATGCAGGAGCCACATATGTATTAAGATGTAACTGTTAACTACGAAGAAAGCTTAACTGTTCAAAAATAATATCAAACCCTATGGTGATTTTAAGGGAATTTCTTTCATAGTAAAGTAGAAAGAAAACAAGGGTTATTTCATTAATCTGCTGTTTTGTAACTAACTGGTTTTTGTTCTCCAGCTTTAGCTGTAATCTTGTGGTATGTCGTAAGCTTACTCTCCATTACCACATATGTCCGGTTTTAAATCTAAGTGATGATATGTCAGGTAATAATGAGTTGCAAATTTACATATAGGCAGGAAGTGCTACGGTAAGCTAAATTTTGGGGAAAAGAACACTAGTAACGGAAAATTAAATGTGCTGAAAGGCCAATGTTAAGTTTCATTAAAACTAGTTTGTGTACCAACAGTGCTTTACAAACTTGGAAGAGGAAGCTTGCATTAACTTGTGCTAATGGTATGCAGAAAGGAATATTGAGATGTAGAAAGAGAGTGAGCCTCAGTTTTCACTAATTTATACCAGAGTTGTAATTCAGTGGATTTGCTCCTGATATATTCCAGGGGGAGTGGAGAATCAGATCCACTGTCTAGGGCCCCAAATGATTTTGATATAAAGTGTACCTTCAAACCTCTAACTGCTCTGACTTTCTGAAATTTTGGCCCAGATCATCTATTGTAGCAGCTTCAAATTTTAAAAGTACTCAAGATTTACATCAGATTAGAACTGTTTACTTCAAGAAGGAAAGTGAATTAAATTTCAGTTTCCTTGCTTTACTTTTCAATACTTAAATAAGCACAGACTGATATTCAGGAGGGTGAATAAGATGATGGTAAACTTACTCCAGTATCCATACTCAAGCTCTGAATATATTTCTCTGAGATTAAAACAGTTTTGTGCCATGTAATAAGCAAACTGTCACTTTGTCTGAAAGGGTGCTGACTCAGTTCATTTTTAATTTAACTATTCCATTATTAGCATTCTTGCAACCCATGTTTTTTCATTTTGTTCTATTCTAAACCTTTTTCATTATGATTGGAACTTTTTTTTAATTTGATTTCACACAGTTATTAGCATAACATGATCTGTTTCAGGATTGTCTTGGGGATCATCACAAAGAAGAACATATTAGAGCATCTCGAGCAACTAAAGCAACACGTCGAACCCTTGGTGATTAGACATATCAGATCTCATAATTAGACACGCTAGAAGTCAGGAAGCATGAAACTTGTGAACTGTTCAGTGTTCTCTTATCATGACATCAGCTGAACAACAAAATCTGTCTTTGCAACAAATGCAATCATTGTATTAAAGAGACTGTAATACAAAACTGTATCACTCATTTGTAGAAATAAAGCTGTAAAAACAGTTATACTGCTATACTAGCTTTTTACCAGCTTCACTGTTAGTCACAACATTAAAAGAAAATGATAAAAAGCTAAGATGTTTTCCAAAGGATGGCAAATCCATTTGTGATTATTTTGTTAGAGGAGAAATGGCCAGCTAGGAATATGTCTTTCTCTTCTTGATAAAAAATTTAGAAGTTTTTGTATCAACCAGTATATTCCTTGTTCTGATTTTGGTAGCTTTAAATAGCTGCCACTCAAGCCAAAAATCTTCCTTTAATCTTCTGACAACCAAACCAGAATGTGATTTGAATTTATGGCAGCATAGACCTTCCCCTGTTGTATCCCATGTATCTGCATGCTCCTAAAGAGCAGTCCTTTTATTTTTTGTTCTGAATTTTATGTGCTGCAATTCTGTCACTTGTATATGTAGCCATCAGTGTATCCCTTTATAACCTGCTACTTACATCCTGAGCCACTAAATGGCTTATAATATTTCTACTACTGACTTTGCAATTTAGATACTGGTACACTAAGATGTTGTGATCTAACCTTAGTTGTAACTTAGAAATTGTCTTAATTTGGACATTGGTTGCTCTGCTTCTGTACTAAACCTGCCCTCCAAGCTTAGTTGCTTATGTACAAAACATATTATTGCATTCACATTTTTATGCTAATATTTCACAAGTATTTCATGCCTCCTTTAATAAAACAGAACAAAATGTACTAACAAGAATAACAAGGGCAGCAGCTCATTCCTTCTGCTTTCTGCTTCTCTTGTGATATTATCCTTTAAGACAGCTTCACTCTAATATTTCACAGTTGTTTTAAAGCTATTAAGATAATTTCATAAGAGCACAGTATTTAAAATTGAAAATGTATGCATTCTTTTAAAACTAGTAGTTAATTTCCAAAGTTCTGACTTTCAAGACATAAGTAACTACTGATTAAGATTTATTCTCAGCTGTTTGTGCTCTTATGAACACAGCCACCCAACCCAAGACAATATAGTAGACTAGAAAGATCCTTTCTATTTAAAAAAAGAGGGATTTTGATTTGGTATTACCATTTTGAGCCATCAACCAATTTGTCACTTGATGGCTGGATTCAAACGTATTTTCTTTATGAAACGGGATCAATATCACTTCCTCTTCACACTTTTTTTTCTTTGTCCTTTATTACTTTTTTGTTGGCATACGTTAATCAAAATTTCATTCTGTAGAAACAAACAAAAATTAAATACAAATGGGCATGGTCTCTGCTAGTATTACTTGCATATAAGTAAAAATGGAGTGCAGTTTAGTGACCATCTGATCTGGTGTCTCAGCACTGCTGTTTTTTAACAAACCGATGGTTACTCTATTTTTATTAATCAAATGTTTCTGTTTAAATAAGAAAATCAGGATACTTACTTTGCTCCATTCCTGTCAACAAAAAGGACTTGGCTACAGATGTGTTCTGTTCTTCTCTTTTTCCTTGTAGTTTAATAGCTCTCTTCTATTCTTCCTTCACAGGCGCCTCCTTGGCATTGTAACAAAAAAAGATATCCTCCGTCATATGGCCCAGACGGCAAACCAAGACCCCGCCTCAATAATGTTCAACTGAAACCCATAGCTGAGGAGAGAGAGGAAACTGAAGAGGAGGTTCATTTGTTGAATAGCACAACACTTTAGTCGGAGAGATTCTACTAAAATCAGAAATGAGACCTGAGTGTTTGCGTAATAATGCTGTTGGAATTCAGGATTGGTCTGGGGAAGTGTGGAGAGTTAGTGGCGTTCTCCACCGAAGCATGGGGAAAGAGAACTTCTGCTGTCCTGCACTGGATGCGTTCCCTGATGTGCGATCTGCCATGATAGTGCAGTGGGAAAGCTGTATCTGAAAATGGAATTCTCCAAACCGTAACCTGTTACTTCAGCATTGAAGAGATGCATTATTAGTCCCTGTTTCTGGAGGGATCATTTTGAATTGAGCCATCTTTTGGAGACTGCAAAGTCTTGCCCATTTTACCATTGAAAACTGTTGTGTTAACTCATTAATGTATAATTATTACATGTCACCTTTCTACATTCCAGAAGAGCTTTTATTTCTCTCTCTCCTGAGCCATTAACGAAGCCTCTTTAAAACTGGTGTGCCCTTTTGAAGCAGTAGTTTCTCATATTGAGATATGCTGTGATTTACTGAGGTTTGATCACAAGAAGGGAGATTTTCTTGTGCCATTAAACGTGTAGTTTGTACATCAAGAAATCATTGGGGCAGTACAGATCCCCTGCATAAAGCAGATTGAGTAGGTAATACTTTATAAGAAGCATGTGTGAAATGTTGCAGCCAGTGTGCTGTGATTTGAGAAAAATTAAACACAGAGAAAACTTGAGTTTCAAAGGAAAAATAATGTTTTTGCTGCAGAATATATCAATAATGTGACCTGGTCTTATGCAATTTTTGTATTATTGAAAACACTATGATATATACCAATGTTGTGCGGTATAAAGAAAATACTGCTACTCTGATAGTTAAGAGCAGGAACAATTCTGTATAAGTGTATCTGATAATAATTGCATGCTGAAACACTGGAGATTTTTTCCATAAAATTAAAAATCAGTCATCTCATTTTTTCCTTTCCTACAAAAACATGTTTTACTACTGACTGGAAGTAAGAAATGTAAATCATAACTTGCACTAAATGTATATTTTTTTCTTGAAATTTTACCATTCTTTATTTATATTTTTATGGATTAAAATCTATTAAATACAAATCAGTTAATATCTCACATAACTAACTCTACCTTTTTAATGTGATTTTGTAGAATAATTCAAAATCCTCCACAAATTATGGAGGGTTGGGCAAAAGTTTACAGCTGGATAAAAGGGGTTTAAGAAAAAGAAATTAACTCTGATCCATCATGCACATAATAGTATTTTCAAGCTTGACTCACTGCCATAAACTTGACGTTTCCATTTGTTTATGATCAGAGAACTGAAACAGTAAAATGATAAATCCTTTTTTTAAACACTGTAGGGTTTTAAAAATAAGACAAAAATAATGGTAATTGTTTGGACTTTTTTTCAGGAATCTAGCAATGCTCTGGCTGAAATTTCTGATGAAACATAGCCTTTGGGGTGGGGAAGGGGAAACCTATTACTTGAACTGTTGGGTAGGAGCTCAGCTGCAGCAATGCACCCTTGATAGCAGGATGACTGACAAATTTCATATCCTCCTGGCTTTTTTTCTTTTTGGAAAATCTACTTTAACTACTAGCTGAACATGTTCACTTATTGACATAAAGAAAAGGTGACACCCTAAGGTATCGTGCCCCAAAATGTAAGACTGTTGTTGGAACAATTAAAATTTCTGGTTGGGAATAATGTCTCGGAATATTCATCTCAGTGGGTGCAGCTAAATATGCACATTTACTGCACAGTAACCAAAACTACTGCACAGTACAGGTGCATGTCTATATGTGCACGTCCATACTGTGCAGTAAATATGGCAACTTAGACCAATTTGAGTGTAAATTTGATGCCTGCATTATGCAGGCATCAAATTTATGCCTAATTACTGCACAGTAATGCACATGTAGAGATCTTATTGCGCAGTAACACTGTGTGTGTGGACTGACTTGGGGCTAACTTTAGTTCCAAGTCAGTCCACACACAGCATTAATGCGCTTTAACGCCTGCATGTGTAGACGCTGACCTATTCCCATTTACTGCTGAGTAATTTACTGCACAGTAAATTTAAGCTGGCATAAATGCACGTGTAGACATGCTGTGTGTGTAGCTTAGACTTTGATACAGTTGCTTCCTAATATCAGTATACCCATGAGACTGCAAAAATAAAACAGGTAAAAATACCTAAGACTCTTAGGTGTTTCTAAAGCACTCATCACTATCATCTCAAAAGCCCTTACTCAGCAAAATACTTAGCATATGCTTATCTTTAAATATACTAATACTCCAGTGGAAGTAGACAGAGCTACTGGCATGCTTAAAGATAACAAACATGGCTACAAGATTTTCTGAATTATGGCCGAAGTGCTCATTACAATTCAATTAATGTTTAAACCCTGCTATTTTTCATCTCTTGCACCTTAGTTTGGCAGAATGCATGGCACTTCCCTGCAGCACCTACTGCACTCTGATTTCAGTTGGTTTGGAATGATAGCAGGGAACCGACCTGTGGTTAAACTTGTGATTTTGCAAATAACTAGTGTTTTTTTTTAAATTTGGAGCCAAAGCTTAGTGGACCAAATTTTGCTCCACTACAACTCTGTCAGTCTGGAATTGCTTCATAAATTTCTGTGAGTCCCTAGAGTTGAAACCAATGTAACAGAGACAGTAAAAGGCGTCTTAGCTAATTATCATCACCGCCTAAAACATGTTACTATTCTTTAAAGCAGAAGAGCATAGCATCCTTCCTTATATTGTTTTTAAGTAGTTCAAGCTCCCCGATTTCTGTTGGTCTTTATCATAGGACGCTGCACTGACTGTTCTGCATGAAGTGAAATACAGTTCACGCCCTTACTGTGTCTTATTGTTTTAAAATATAGACTCAAGTACTGCATTTGTGTTTTGCTGATTCCATGGGTTTCTATTCACTGTTCTTACCAGCTAAGCTTTCCTTAATGACATACAAGACACATCCCACCGGGTCATTGATATTGAAGTAAGTGTGCCTGTGCTATTCAACAAAAAGGTTCATTTTCTAATGAAAAACTTCCAGAGCCTTATTCAGGTTACTAATTTGAACAAACGTGGTTATACGGAGGGTGGGGGGTGTCAGCACCTTTTTTTTTTGAGAGAGAGAAAAAAACAACAAAACAGTTCAGTTCCTGGTTCATGAAGAATGCATAATTTGTTAATCTGTGATGTTGCCTAGAGCTGTATTTAATATTGATCTTAATGTTTTTATTTATAATAGTGTGATAGAGCTGAGTATCATTACAGTAAATATTCTGATTACTGTGATGATTTAATCATAAACATATTAAAAATTTCTGTATGATCATTTTTGTTTGACTTTTAATTGTCACATTCTATCAAACAACATTGCAGGCGTTTTCCCCTCTGAATTTGACATACCACATGTGTGGAAGTGTACTGCTTCCCCAAAAGAAAACTAGCAGCAAGCAATTTACATATGAAAAAGCACCCATGAACTTGTAAAACCACAATGAATAAGACATCAGCTTGTTGTGCAGTTTTGCAATTACTCAATTTAGGAGGCAAACAGTTCAGTGCTAATATATGAATTTCCAAATGTCCATTTTTTAAGAGTGATTTAAGTGTAATAATAAAAGTTTGCTTCCTGAATATTAACGTAGTATCTTAAAGCCACAGTTCTATAGTTAAAGCACGGTGCAGCTTCACTACTTTTACTCTCAAACAATATTCATTAAAATATACACAGTGGAAGTGTCTACATATGCACATTTAATTGCACATTAGCCCAATTTAAGGCACATTAAGGGTGCGAGTCTACAAGTGCGTACCCTTAATGCACTTTAAAAATTATTCAAGTCTAAATTTGATACCTGCATAAAGCTTTATGCAGGTATCAAATTTAGGCTTGAATCATTTTTAAAGTGCATTAAGGGCACGTACTTATATGCACGCGCACGCACTGCATAAAGCAGGTATCAAATTTATATGCGAATAGCTAAGTCACATTAGCAAACGTAGGCGTGCTAATGCACAGTGGTGTGTGTCCATTGACTTAGGACTAACTAATTTTCCTTAGTGTGTGCATGTGTGGACGTGCACCTAAATCACCTTAATACGCATTAGCCAGTTTAGGCGCACATAAAAGCATGTGTAGACATGCCCAGTGAGGAGCAAATGAAGGCATCTAGTACTAAGTGAAGGATTATTTTTCCTCACTAGTTTGTCAGTTGAACTGTTTACAGGCAGATGTTTCTTATTTCCCCTAAATGCAGCCCTGAAAGTTTTTCCTAATGGAAGCTGGAAAATCCATAGGAAAGGCTCCTGTCCTGCAAAGATCTTTAGGTGCTGGGAATAGTTCTGTTCAATTACTTTGTTGAAACTACTTGCAAGACATGCAGTTAAGCAGGTAAGTCTTTGCAGAATTGCAGCTTAAATAAAGGTGGCAGGTTTTTGCCTACACTTTCAGGAAAGTTCATCTGCTGTCTGCACAAACAGAACAATTCTGAGCCCACTCAGAAGCCTAGGTATACTAGACATACATACAAGTGTTTGAAGTGTCTTTACAGTGTGTTTGAAGTGTATTTACGGTGTAACAAGAGTCTCCAAGAATATTATGATGCATCATCTCTCTGATTTGTGTCACATTAGTTCGCTTTTCAAGAGTAGTAGTTACAGGTCACCTTCCTATCTAAAGTGTAAACTGAATTTTTGCTGACTCAGACATCATTATGATAAGTAATATTCTAATTACTGATTTAAGTGATGCATGAATTGCAACAGAAACCTAATTGCTCTTCTACAGCTGTGCTGACTCAACATAGGTAGCAGGAGCAGAAACTTACTATGGGCATCCTCTTTTATGATTGAATACTCCCAGAGAGCCTCAAGAGAGTTCTGTTTGATGTTTTTTAAAGCATAATAGCAAGATACAGTCATACAGTTAAGGTACTGCAAAACGTTATACTTACAGCAGGAAAAAACAGCATCAGACACATTAGCTACATAACAGTAGACATGTATCAAGTGCATAAACTCCTTTCTTTCAAAAAACAAATCGTGGAAAGAAAAATAATGTATGACTCTATGTTGGCAAAAAGTCATGAAATGCTTTGTATTTTCTACAACAGGGGCAGGCAATTATTTTGACTGGAGGGCCACTTAAGTTTTGTTGAGCTGTCAAGAACCACAAAGGTAGTTCTGCCCCTTGACAAGTGGCCTACCCCCTGGTTGCCATCTTGGAACCAGAAGTCCTGCCCCCTAACCTCTGACCCTGGGCCCCGGAAGTACTCTGTTTGGCAAAGGGGTTTGTCATCTTGGAACTAGAAAAAAACCAAATTATATTCATAAAAATCAAACAACATTTGATTTTGAAAAATATTTTTGTCCTGATTTATGTGTGTGTGCATAGTGTACATAGAGGTGATTGCATAATAGCTTAAAATGAAGTTTTTTATTTGTATATTGTGGGAGGGGGGGTATGGAAGGGTGTGGGGGGAACAGGTGGGTTGGTACAGGGCTTGTTGGGGATTGTGGGTATGTGTGTGGAGTG